AGGATCACTACTTTTCAATTTGTCAACACTGTTTATAGTGATAGTGAAAAGTTTTTTAACTTTTTCAAATGGTATTTTGGGTAATTTATGATTGCAGCTATCTTTATCATTCTGCGCTTCCAACGAGGCCTTGAGGTCATCCAGTTTTTTTCTGGTTTCGGGAAAATCCTTAAGCTTTGAGTTCAGATCGTTAAACGATTTCATCACCTCTCTCTATACAACAAACAAAGAAAAAAACAACATTTTATTGGTCGATATTAAAGTTTCCTTTATGGATTCAGTGGGTACTATAGCTGCCATCGCCCATTTTCTCAACACATTTGTGCTCTTTGACATTGAACTGTTTACCAGTTTGCAGTAACACATTTGAAAATCTTCACGAAATATTTTAAAATTGCAGCTAGGATGTTGCATGATAAGAAATTTGAGTCGTCTCTAGCTTGATAATGAGATTTATTGCAGACGTTTCGATCGCAACTGCGATCTTCTTCAGTGCAGTGGCAAAAATGCAAAGTGTGCACGCACCGTTAGTCGTGCGTGCACACTTTGCGCATTTTGCCACTGCACTGAAGAAGATCGCAGTTGCGATCGAAACGTCTGCAATAAATCTCATTATCAAGCTAGAGACGACTCAAATTTCTTATTTGAAAATCTTGTTTGATGGATATTTGATAACTTGATTTCCGCATCCCCYGGTCCTGAACGAATACTGAGGGGAAATCCCGTTCGGCACGATCTTCAACTGTTGCCCAAATTCTTAGAAAAAAAATTGAAACAGGGGTCAATAATGATACTTTTCTTACCCATTTAGATTCCTTTTTTCTATACTCACTATCCTTCCCAGACGTCTGTGGGCATTTTTCGCTGAAACAATGGTCGCCGACCAAAGGTAGTACAACTTGCAGAAAAATTATTATTTTTATCATATTTTGMCTGGAATTCTGCAATATAACGTAAAGAATTGGTTGTAATTGACTAAATATACCTAGAAATGTTGACTGGGATGATTTCTTTTGTTTTGCGTCCTCAGAAGGAAACTAGGGGGGGAGGGGAGGGGGTGGGGTAGGGTGGGGGAAGAAACCAGCCAGCCGATCCTTGCAGACCGCTTCAAAAATCAGGAAATTTTACCAGTACCGGTATTCGGCACGTGAAGTTCGGCGTATTAACCCAAATAAATATTTGTTTCAGGGATTAAATGCATATTTTTTTATTTGCTTTTGGGTTTGGTAAAACAAAAACACAAATCTTGACTAATTGTAAAGTATATCATTGACAGTATATAAATGACTTTCTAATCTTGGTCGTGACGTCATAGTGAAAGGGCATCTTGTTGGATGTCCGCTTCGCAAACATATATTTGAGCAATGGTAAAGGTGAAATATACGAAACCCAAAGTCAATATTTTCTACATGGTGCTTTTAGATCATGTAATGAATCTGTTCTTTTCATTGCTAAAATTGAATACTAGAAAGT